TTTTTTTTTGTTTTTAACTTTCAGCTGTCAATTTTATATCCTCAAGGACCCTATTTAAAGGGCAACTGGAACCCACGGGTACCACCAGTTCAGTTCTTCACATGCGGCTTGCCTGTAAGGAAGCTTAGCTCATCTCAGAAGGGAAACATCACGCAAGAAATTAGCCGAGAAAACTCCAGTATTGTAAGTCATGTTTGTAACAAATCTGTAGGTGATATCTGCCCACCCTTAGGTGTACCAATACGAGGCAGCCAGTTCGTTAAAGCTTTTCTTTTTGCGAAAGAAATAAGTGTGCATAAAATATGCTTAGCACAGGGAACTTGAGAAACAGCACTGCATAACAGCAACTTTTTAGATCATTTCGTTTTAGTCCTGCACAATTAAGACATTTACGAAGAGGAGGAAAGCTTGTTAACAACCTTTAATTTGCTAAGTATTAATTTATTTCTGCAGTGTAGACTTCAGGAAGCGGAAAATCTTTTAAACTGGAAACGCCCAAGAAAGTATAGAGGGGTTTGGGGAAACAAGAGAACATGATCTTTTATTTTTTGCAACTGATGGATAAAAAAGAACATTTTTATCGATTAATTTGAGGGAACAAGTGATATCTCTGCTATGAATGGAAATTTCGACGAAAATGTGAGGATAAAAAAAAAAATAGAATTCAGTATTGTTGGGGAACAAGGAAAAAAATGTGAAATTTTTGAGGAATAAATTCAAGATTTATCCTTTTCCGGGTCTGGAGGCCCTGATCGTAAAGTGAGTTTTAAAGTCACGTACAGTTTTTGTTGCAGTTGTGATATGTAGCCTACTGATCTCTGTTTTATATCTTAAAGGACCATGAGGTGTACCTTAGTTCTGTTCTTCCTAACAACTCTGGGCCTGTCGGAATCAGTTCTTGTCTTAAAAACGAAACAAGGGGTAAATATATAAACATATATTTGTCAGTTTGTAGAAGGGCTGATCTCGGAGAGGACAATTCAGTATTGTTATTTGATAGTAAGTCTCGAACACTTCCCAATGATTTCGGGAAAAAAAAGCAAGAAACCAAACAGGAAATTTATTAAATATGTGGAAATTCTGCGCGTAACCTAAGACCATTAAAAGACGGTTACTGCGTTAAATTTCGATAAAATAAGTTGTTGCTAAACAAAAGTATTCATTACTAAAGTGTCACTAATTTATTATTTCACAGAGAGCACTTCCCAATCGTAACTCGGTAAAACTGGAAAGAGGGATTGTTGGTAAGATAACACTATCCTTTAGTTTTTTTCGTTAAAAAAAAATTATGTATATATTCTGGAGCTTTATTTCATTCGAATTGAGTTGACGCCGTGAGGTATCAAATTCATATGAAGTAGTTTTCTGCAGGCGCTGTTACAGCGGTGCTTTATTCTTGGGTTTTGTAAATATTTGAGTATTTGAATATTTCCAACACCAAGCGCTTAGCAAAACAATATAAGAGAGTATTTACAAAATTTTATTTTCATTTGTCGATTCTTTTTTCTTGGGATATCCTTAGCATTCATTAGTTGGTTTCATCGACATTATTTGCTCTGGTTTTCACTAATTCAATGCTGGCTTCCTCCAAGAAAATATCACTTAATGATTATTAATAAAAACCGTTGGATAACGCGCCAAAAGACCTTTTATAGAGATATGTCCTCCATGTCGATAGAATTGCATGCCACTTCCGGTCAGAATTTTACTTCTGTTCCTCATCAGTCGAGGAAAATGCGAGACCCAGGGAACAATACATTTGAACGGTTCGCCAATAAAACGAGGTTTTTTTCTGTGTGACGTAAATGATAATTTAAATCAGTCTCTGATATGGCTTTAGCTGAAAGTCGTCATTTCCAACGTAAAACGTGTACTGAGTTTGCTGAATAGCCATATCAGTTATAGCTATTGTGAGCTAGTTCGAGGGCGGCACCGGAAGTTACGGACCGAGATTTTTCAAAATCGATTTATGGCTCAAGTGAGAAGGGTGCGGGCCATAAATCGAAGGCGAAAAACGAGGATCCGTAATTTACAATACGGACCAAGAAGACGAGGTTAGTAAGATATTTATTATATCTCTACCGTGTGTCTTCCGGGTTCGGAAACAACTTCTATTCACGCGGAACGGCTTTAAATTTCTGACACACCTCTAAAGCAAAACGAGTCAATTTGAAATCGTTGTTAAGTGACTGTTAAGTCGTTAGCAGGTTTTAATACACAATTTTAGAAGTAAAAGATAGTTTTAAACGTTTGTTTGCTATAAAAGTAATATTAAGAATGTTCGTTATTATTATTATTATTATTATTATTATTATTATTATTATTAACACTTGGCGATAAATCACGAAACATTTTGGCAACAAAAATAGCTTTAACTTTTAACGGGCCGTACAGTAGAATACGGCTCGCTAAATTGACCAATCATATGCAGCGCGCGTACTAACTATAAGAGATATAATAATTGAATTACTTCGAAATATAGAGTCGGCATACTGTCCGAATCAGGTTATTTTATGGTGCACAGGATTATCGCTAGCAAAGCTGAGTAAATCATGGCTGATTTGAAGGGATCTAATGATGCGTTCTTCTTCAGTAGATCTCATTCCCTTATTTTTTTTAATAGCAAAACGTTTTAACCATCGTGGCCATATCGTTCAACAAGGTATCAATAATGGGACAGTCAGATTGCATTTAAGTGATGAAAGTGGCGCAAGCGAAAATGGTAAGAAGTTAATAAGTTGTTTTTCCTTTGATTTGCTGTGAAATTCATTCTTTAAGGGTGCCTAACTTGCCCTGTTCAGACAGTGGCATGAAAGTGCAGCAGGACAGTGTGAATCGCCGTTTTCCGAGTAATAAGGTGTTGTTTGCGGGCCCCAAACCGCATTACACTAGGATAAACAACCTTTTACCATCCCTTCTTCGGCGGGAGCTAAGGGTGGGTGGAGGGCGGGGGNGGAGGCTGTTACTTTTGACGCATAGCTTACAGTTATACCGTTTATGGAATATCGAAGTGAGCAAGATTGTGAGCAATGTGGAGAAATGTCCACGATTCTTATAATTGTGCTTATTAAATAACAAAATCACGTTTAAAGGTTGCAAAGCACAGTAGAATAGTGTTAAAAGCACTTCGAAAACACAGTTTCTGCATACGGTTTGGATGATCATTGAAATTATTTTATGGCGCACTGGATTTCTGCTAGCAAAGCTGAGGCGATATCGGTCAACAAGATTACAATAATGGGACAGTCACATTTCATTTGCGTGATGAAAGGGGCGCAGGCGAAAATGGTAGAAATTGAAGACTTTTTTTCATCTGATTTCCCGTGAAATTGACTATTTAACGTGCCTAACTTGAATTCTTTACATAGTGGCATGAACGTGTAACCAGTGAGTGGTCCATTGCATGGAATTTAGCAATTCTTTATTATCCCTTCGATTCTTCCGCGACAGAAGGGCAGTGAAGGGAAGGGGGGAAGGGGGCGGAAGGGGAGGGATCGGGGAAGGGGCTGTTTCGTACCCACCTGGCACCTCAGTGTACTGTTTGAAGAACACCCGTGTTAGTAAAATTCTATCCAGTGTGAAGATATTCCCATGAGTTTTCCTTAAAAAAGTGTGTTACATAGCTTATTCGAAATCAATCTTTTTAAATAACAGAACAACGTAAGGCTTGATTTAATCCTTATATACTCATTTCTCAGCAAAACGGCTTCATATTGTTCACCGAGGTGACAATGATGGCGGCAACACATTACACACGGAAGACGAAGGCGAGTGCACCCTTAAAGATACCTTGACAGTTTAAAATAGTGGTATTTCGTCCTCAACACCCTAAGTGAGACCAGAATCCTTGATTTAAACCCCTGAGGGAGACGACTGGCATTCTCTCTACCTTTCCAAATATAGCTATTATTACAGTTGAGCCTGCAGTTCAATATTCTTTTGTTTAAAAGGCATACAAACGAGGCGAAAGGGTCAATACGAAGCAGAATTGGCCCTTTCGCCTCGTTTGTATGTCAAACCACTGATAACTGCAATAACAGCTGTTGGAATTGCTTCCTTCGCATCGATTATTTCCTTCTTTGATTTGTTAAGTTTAGACTTCTACAAAGCAAACCTAACGACATAAAGTCCTTCTTATGTCGTTATGTCGCTTGTGTGAATAACTGACGCCTTTACCAAGTGCATACAATATCCCACTTAATATAATTGTAACCAGTCTGAAAACACCCACATAATTGGAATAACGATTCTTAAAAGGAAAAAAAAAAACATTCTGCTTTATGCCCATTCTCTAGCCAATGAATTCAGATTTGGGTCTAATACTGGGAATAATGGAACTGTCGTTCAAGAAGGAGCCAACAAGGGAGGTGTCGGCCTAACGGTAGCCAAAAGCGACGCTCCGATGGGTAATGTACAGTTTAAATTTTGTTCTATTAGCTCCTGAAGTAGTAGATCTGACCCTGAGAAAAGCTAGTGACAGCAATCGGTGGATCGTATTTTTGCATTGAACTAACTTTGAAAGATTTGATTTGATTCAATTTGATTTGAAAACTTTAAAGGAGCTACGTCATGGTTTGAAACTTTAAAATCGGTTTTCACTTGAGCGTCGAAAGTAACTTGGATTTGCTTTCGTTTTACACTGCCACTGAGCCATTGGCTCAACCATGCATGCCACTTTTTGCTTTCTAATCAGAAGTAAAGTCAAACCGATCGATTACTCTTTCGCCCACGTTTTCCGGCGCTTCCCGGAAGCTCCATGTGTTTACTTTAAGTTTTGATTGGCTCACTGGATTGCCCGTACCCTTTATGATTGGCCACTGGCAGAGTGATTGGCAGAGTGGTCTCGCGTTTAATGGTTTATCACACTCGATTGAAAACCGCCCTTACAGGGGCTAATTTGATCAGTATACCCCATTTTCTAGCAAAACGTTTGAACGATCCCTCGGACAGCTACCTGTTCAGGATTAATAACGGCAGCATTGGCCAACAAGGAGAGAACACAGGGGAAATCGATTTGATGAGCAAGCCAAAAGAAGGCACCGTTGTTCAGCAAGGTCTGAATAAAGGGACACTTGCCTTCACCGATAAAGGTAGGTAAAGTCTGCATAAGAGCAAAGTGGCCCATCAGGCCGGCGATTATCTCCGGTTTCTCTAGCATGAAGCAAATAAGAGTATTTCTACTCCCCCCTGGATGGGATGCTAGTCCATTGCAGGGTTACCCCCAGCATTAAGTTCGCCGGTACCCATTTATACCCCTGAGTGGAGAGAGACACTGTAAGAGCAAAGTATCTTGCCCAAGGACACAACCCAATGTCCACGGCCGGGGCACGAACCCGGACCGCTCGATCCGGAGGCTAGCGCACGAACGATGCGGCCATCGCGCTTCCACTCACCGATGAAGGACCGGGTATGAAATTAATTAGATATTTTAATTTCCATTGGTTGAGAAAAAGACGAAGTGAAAGATATTTATAGTTGTCTTGAACGTCTGGATGACGGTGAGGAATTTCAATAATCGGTTGCAGCTTCGGCCATTTCTTTTAGCTAAAAGAATTAGAGTTTCAGCCTATTTGGCAGCTATTCAGTAGTTTGCAGATCTTAGATCTCAACTATCGGTCAGGAAAGCCGGGCATCATTTCTCAGCGGACGGTTTCGATTTTGCCCAATACTCAGCTAAATAGTAAAAAAATCCAGCACCATGCTTTACCTTATATAGTTCCCAATGAAACTTTAGGTTTTAAATCCATCTTAATCTCAGTCTTGAGTAGAATTGAAGCTTAGGCGTCACAAGCCTTAATTCAGTTATTACTTAGCGTTAATAGCTGAGCGGGCATTATACAGCGTAAACACCCCCCCCCCCTACCCTCCCGGCCCTCCCCCTTCCAAACGAATGGACATTTTTATATGCATGTGAAAAGTGCATTACCAGATTTCGCTGCAAGTATTTACCCGCAAAATCACTTCACCCGATGAATCAATGGAAATGAGAGGAAAACAAAAATAAAATAAAAATATTTCTTACTGATATTCATTCTGTTTTGCATGAATGTTTAATCAGAGTCACTTTCCAATTGATGGCATTTTAAGGTAGGCTCGCTTACATTTTACAGAACTGTAGCACAGAACTGTTGACAGCCTCGTCCCCATGGTCCTCTGGAAACGAGGTTGAACTACAGAGTATAATTTTAAAAGACATGAAAAACGTGAGTTTTAATTCAATTCTAATGTAACCATTCCCAGGAAAACGTACCTATGGCTTGAAGGACAAGTTCACCTTTAAGGACAACAATGGCACTATTGCCCAGCAAGGCATAAGCTCTGGCAAAATTGAGTTGAATGTCAGAGACGAAAGTGGCAGAGGCGGATACGGTGAGAAATTTCACCCTGTTTGTTGTAAAACTAATCATTCAAAGGTACTTAAGGTAATTCCTGTGAAATTAACGTGACAATAGATTTTTGTTCAAACTTTGTCCACTGAATATTTGTCATGTAATAACTTCAGTTTTGAAATAAAAAAGGGCCCATGCTCATTAAGGAGCAGTGAGGCATTGAAAATGCCCCATTTTGGCATTATTTAATGCTTATTATAGGAACGCATTCCCAGTAATTGTAAAATCTTTGTGAGCCCAGACTCATAAGAACACGCATTAAACTACAGTCAATACATTGTGTCGGACACAAATAAACATTTTAAGTTTGATTCAGACAGAAAGCTAAATCCTTGATTAAAAATTTGAACCATATTTCTAGACGTGGTTACCGACTGCAAAATAGAAAAGACCACAGTGTATCTGCTATTTTTCTTATTTATTCAATTTTCAGCAATAGAAATTAGATCAGTCTTTTC